TGCAATGGCTTCATTCATTTTCTTTCAATGTAGATTTATTAAATATAGCAATAAGCTATCTTCCACAACAGTGTAATCAGAGTAACTGATGATAACAGCGGTTTATTCATGTCAAGGCATCTAATTCCTACTGCTCTTAAGTCTCAGTTCCCATAGCCCTACAGAACATGGAATGATATGGACAAATCCTGCCTAAGTAAGTTTCATTGTGATCTGGGATTCTGAGCCCTGCAGAAAAGGATTTATAGATGCACTTCTCTCTAGAACTGCTATATACCGTTGTATGATTGATAACAAAAAAAAGTAACTGAAGTACTTCTACTCTCACTGAGCACCACCTCTATTTACAGATTTTATAATTTCTGGTCTGTATTGATTTTAAAAGTATCTTTAGCATGCAAAGCGCTGTTCAATGCATTTTGACCCCAAAGCAGGGAATTTGCACAAGTATTCCCACTAGAATGTTTGTCCTTTCGTGTCCATGCATTAGGGCTCTGTTTAAAATCTGTCCGTGTCCCTAATCTCCCTGGGGAGCTTTTCCTGAATATTCAGTGCTAGTCCACAGTCTGTAACAAAAGAGGGAGGGGAAAAAAAAAAAAAAGAGAGACAGAGAACACTGTTTATGCATAAAGTTCAAGAGCTTTTTCACAAAAAAAAACATATGCACACACAAAAGCACCTCAACTACAGAGCCTGGCATTTCCACAGCAAAGATCTGACAGCGCGTGCAGTTTTTTGAGTTAACTAATTTACAATAAGGGCATCAGACATCTGAGCTCCAGATGCACTCATTCAGGCAGCCAAGGCCATAAATAAAATAGAAAAGAATACTCTTACCCTAACACAGATTTTATAGACATGTGTTGAAGGCTTAGCAGATGGGTTTTGCTGTCTCAGCTTTTACCTGTGTAACGAAGTGAATGCATGAAGCTGCTTATTGGCTTCTTCAATTCAAGACCTATGCATTTGCTCCCATATGCTCCCATGAAGATATGGCTAATTTAAACAATAAGCAAAATCCCACTCCTCAGGAAAGCTGATGGCAAAACTTCCACTGGTTCCAGCAGGCTCTGGGTGTTGCTCTACATAAATGCAATTGGCTGAATTTGGCTAATAGCATAACCAATACTATAATTGAATTTGTATTCTTCGATCTACAGATTTGCCACCTTATCACCACCCCTAGTTCTACTTTCATCCCATGGTTCTGTGGAAGAACAAAACTAATGACACAGCTACTGTCACCAAAACTGAGGTTGCTGCAGCCTCAGCCCAGACTGCCATCCAGCTCTCTCCCATGGAGAGGTGAGAGAGGTTTGAATTAGGGCAAGATATCAAAACATTTTGTCATATCATTAACTTTGTTTTGCTCAATCTACATGCTGTTCTAACAGAGCAGAAAACTGGAATCACAAATCTGAAAGATGACATATCATATAGCAAACACTTCTGAGTTTCAAAAAAGTTTGCCAATTGAGAAATGAATGTTTTCCTCATCATCATCATCATCATCATCATCATCATCATCATCATCATCATCCAGTCTAGCTTTTATAAACATCTGAGCATTCTTTTGAAACCAGTGTGCTGTTTGGGCAGATGGCATGGAAATTTTACAGTCCATTTCATCCCTGATGCCTACACTTAATGTTCACTGTTAATAACGGGATATACACAGAGATACACAGATGAACATACATGTGTATATAGATATGCTAAGAGAATAAAACATTTCTGACATGTTCTTATAAAGGAATTAAATTGGTGAAGGCAGATTTCTGAGCTCAGCACATGCTAAAGTGCATCCTCAAAACTGTGTATTTGGCTGACTTTAAGAATTGTGCACTGTGAGCAGCTGTGAAACATCTGAGGACAGGGCAATGACAGGGAGAGGAATACCCAGTCTGGGACCAAAGCTTGCATCAGGAGGAAGCAACAGGGGCAACTCCAGGCTTGAGAGGTAGAACAGGCAGTGCAGGGAACAGGCACCAAGGAAGTTACTGGACTAATGCATGGCTTGCATGATATCCATGGTTGGATACGTCCTTACAGAGCTATCTTTAAGAGGCAGCACTTGACTCAAGCAGCTCTTGCAAACTGGACTCTGCTTGTCTCTCTGTGCCTTGGCTCAGTCCCTACCCACAGTCCCCCATCCCTGCCGCTCTCAGGACCACTCCCAGATAGTGCACCCCTGATTCCAGTCACAGCACTGCTTTATAATACACCTCAGGGAAAGACACAGGAAGAAGAAGAGAACAAACTTAAATGATGGCTAATGACTCAGACTGACTAGAGAATGTGCTAAAAGCAAGCTTGTTTCACCAATGGCAGAGCTTTGCTGTTTGCTTTACCCCCTCCAGACTAGGTCATCCCAATTCCTTTTCTCCATTTAATGGTGACATAACTAAGTGGCCAGGAAGAAGCTGTCTCACCTATCATAAAAACACAGTACACAATAATCATAGGAGGCTACTGCTCAAGACAAAGCCATGACCTCCATATTTAAGCATCTGCTGGTCTGTAATTCTGAAGAACACATTTATTAGCAAAATCCTGGTTTTATAAGTTGCAAATCAAGACACAGCTTCCTTCAGCACTGTATCATATTTATGAATCATGAGCCTTTTTAGTGCATGACACTTTGCTTTAGAAATAAAATTGACTGTTCAACGGCAGAACACTTCAGTCTTCTTTTTCTACAGCTACTGCTTAGTCTCAAACCAGAACAAAACAGCTCTGGAATAATACATGCACCTAATGTCCTCTTAGTATCTACCAGATTCAGTATAAATGCATAATGATGAGTTTCTAAGTCTGACATCTGCTCAATTAGCAGCATTTTCAATATCTGGCTACTTTGCAACACTTGGCAGCTAAGTAAAGCACACAGTCAGATGTGGATTTTTTTTGTTTTGGGGGGGTGCAGCGCTAGAGGTTTCCCAGATATCCCTTATTTCAAAGCAGGAAAAAAACAACAATGGCCAGCTCTGTACCAAACCACAGGTCAACAGATTTCAATGGTCCAAGGTTAAAACTGGCCTCCAGCTAGCTGCACAGACTTATCCCATAGGTACTAAACAGGAAACTTTTAAAGCTTAAAAATAGTTAGCTATGTGACTTATCCTTGTAAAAGGATTTTTATCATGAACATGAAGACTACAAGCTTTTCTCCTTTCAAATGCTTGTGTTTGACACTCTCTAAAGCACAGCAAATCTGTGTTTTTCTCTCTTGCATAGGCTGTGGGTTGAGTTTTGTTTTGCTATTCTTTTCTCTTTCACAAATCAAGCTGTCAGCAGCACGGGAAGTAATTCTGTAACTGGGACACGTAAGAGCTCTGTTCGAAGACTGCATCGCTGCCCCCAGTAAAGTCACCCTTGGAAACAAGAGCACTTGAGAATATCTTAGCACACAGTGAAAGGCTTTTTGCTATGGTTTATTTAGCTGAAAAGGAAAAACATAATTCAAGGAAAAAGCTCCAGATCTTAGAGCATACTGAAAGTATGCAGTCTCTCCTGAGCCTCCTGCTACTGCAGGCTACAGCCTCTGAAGAGCACTGGTTGAATATCCATTTCTTTGGGGACAATGTTTTTGAGCTGGGAGATAAACTACTTTTCTTGGCCTTGATATGAAAGCTAAACAATAATAGATGCTCCTCTCCTACTACACAAACACTCCCAAAACTAAGGGAGTACAGCCAAATACCAAAGGGCCACACTGTACACAGCTGATTGCTATTTGAATTGTTTTAGCCTGCTCTTAACTTCTTCCTCTGCTCCTTACTCACTCCCTCATATAACTCCTAGGTGTTCTCTCCACATGTCCAGGCTTCAAACTCAGCAGATCCATCCCATTTGTCCCCAGATGCCACATCTAGCCACCACAGCCCAGGTGGCCCAGTTTACCTAACCTCAATCTCCTGTGAGACCCTGGAACCTATCTTCACCATCAGATGCACTGTGCTTACCCAGCCCAGCCACGTAATTAGTGCAGCTGCACAGCCACCAACCTGCCAGCACACATGTGGCAGACCCACTTCTTGGCAACTATTAATCACATATTGCATAAGAAACAGTCCCTTAATGCAGGCGAGTCTTTCCACTCCCAAATCATGTAAAAGACATAAAAGCTTTTGGCCATGGCAGAAAAGTGAACAAAATGAGTGGTAATTAACTCTCATGACTACAAAGGCTAACAACTTCAGCACTTGCAAAGGGGATCAGAGGCAGCTGAGCTGAGAAAGAACTGTAGCAGAACAAGTATTTGCCTGGGAGCAAACACCGCCTGAGTGCTTATTTTAGAATGAATAGTCATGTTAGTTAACTAGAGCTAACTTTTGAACAAATAGCTCACGTTACAGCATACTGAGGTACACCAGATGCATCCTTTGATGTACTAACTGACAACCTACTGCTGAGTTCTTTTTGTCAGGAATTTAAAAAAAACCCTAAAATTTATCTTTCATAGCTGATTCTGGGTTTTGGCACAGTCTTTTCACAGGTTAATGGAAACAAAACTAAAATGGACTTAATCACTGCAGCATGAGATATCTACATTCAGCAAGAGCATGTGGTTTGCAAAGAGAAAAAAAGGAACCAAAGAAAGTTTTTCTGTAAATCAACATGTGTGACTGTTCCTCACTATCTCAGGACAGGCAAGTTTTAGTGCACTACATGTCCTTGGTGTTTCTGACCTTTCAGCACAACTGCAGCCTCTAAGCACCAGGATCTGGTCTGCTGTTCAGTAGCATACTATGCAGCCTGACACACCCTTCATGCCACTTACTTAAAATACCAATGGGGACAAGGAATATGACTCCCATGGTTTTCAAGAAGTAGGGGAAAAGAGCTGGGATTTGGGGAGTGACTTATAAGGCAGACAAAATTCATCCTGGAAATATGAAGTAAAATGTGTTCTGATTATTATCATGAAAATAAACACATCTCATCTGGAAACACATGAATTCAGGAGTAAAAATTTCTTTTCTATACGAACTACTTACTACTTCACACTGGTCATAAACTTAAGGGATTTGACAGGGATTAAAGATTCACTTGTCAGCTGCTATGTCCTTTAATTAGCTTCCTAACATCCATACTGACTGAAGCAGGATGTTCCCCAATTTAGCAAATCAGGCTGTCTCTATCCAGGTTTCACTGTAGCTCTGAAGACCTGAAAAAGAGTATTAAATGCAGTGATTCTTTTGTCCCCTAGTAGACATAATCTACCATATAAATTTTCTTCTGTCCTGGCTTTTGTGGAATGGACAACAAAAATATTAACCTAAATTCCAGAAGCTGCATAAAGTGTGTATGGCTCTTCATGATCTTTTGAGGAGAAATTCATATACCAAAACCCATAGCTCTGCTATGACCTGTTCTTGTATCTCCTATCTTACTTCAGGTCCACAGGAAACTTCACCATAAACATACATTCACAACTTCATATCCATACCACAGTTAGGTATGGATGGTCTTGTTTGCAAAGCACTTGACAGGACTTAGGGGTTCTCTACCACAGACAACTCAGACCCCAACTGTTGAACTCAGCCGAAACTTCTTCACCCCTGTTTTGCACTCCCACCTGTAATACGGAGATGAGAAAATTCTTTAACCTTTCCAACTAAATATTCTTCTACTTTTTAAATGGTACACTCATCTTAGGACAGAGGATCAACCAAATACTCACCCAGAACCAAACACAAATCACTCTTTGGGGTCTCTGGGTAAGAATCAGCCCCTAAGATGTTAACCAGCTTTTGTTTAACAGCATTTTTAAAGTCTGAACCAACTATAAATCAGACCAGCCAGATTCTCACTTTGGGTCATTAGCTTCACCGTGTTTCCATCCTCTTGTCTTTCCATGCTCTGGGTGATTCCAGGCAAGTTTGTTGCTGGTCTCTTACACTTGGTTTTTGCCATCTTACACTGTTGGAGCCGTGCAAGAAACTGTAATAACAATATTAACTGCTCAGCTTTGACAGGACATAGCTATTTTTACTGGATTACTTTTCTGGCACAGCATTTAAAGCACCAAATGATTTGACACCTGTAATTTTATACTTGGAATAACACAAGGTATTCATACTTCCTTTGTAATGTAAGATAAAAGCAAACACTACATATGTTCTCATTCCAGTGCTGCTGTCTGACAGCTATTTGCTCAAGGAGAAAAAAGTACTGTTACATTACAGAATATGTGGAAAAGTAAAAGCTATGGAAAAGAAATCATTAAATAGCTAACTTATTCCCCCTGCTAGCACTAGACTGTTCCCTGCAGCATGTTTCAGAGTGTTTTGTCCAGTCTGGTTTTACAAGTTTCACATTACTTTCATTTATATATTTAATACAGCACCAAGTCCAATGTGGTTTGGTGCTGCTTATTTTCCTTGTCTTTCAACTAGAAGACTCAGTGCTAGACCAGCTGTTCATATAGAGTCAACTCCAAATCTACTGAAAATATCTGGACTCTTTCCACTGACTCCAACAGGCTTTGGATCAGGCTCAGGAAAAGACGACGAATACATTTCATGTAAGACTAAGCAGGTTACAGTCAGCAAAGTATAAAGAGGATTAGCTGTGTACAATCCAAAGGCACGTTACCCTGCATGCTGAAATGCCTGCCTAACACACTTTCACTTTCATGGAGAGAAAGGGCCAGATTCGTTTCTGGTGCTCTGCCACTAAGTCAATGCTACTATGCAAGGAATGAGTGACCTGGAATCTACCCAGTTAACCTCATTACAACTGGGATTTTCCTAAACTAGAGATGAGAAAATTTATTTTCTAAAATTGCAAAACCAGTAAGAAAATAATAGAATGGTATAATGGTTTGCATTGGAAGGGATCTTAAACATCGCCTAGTTCCAAACCCCCCCATGGGCTTTTTGCTTTTCAGTTAAGTTTGGATCTTTAGAGACCCTATGGGATGAGTATCAGGAAAAGCACAATGGATCTTGTCTCTGTCAGGGAAGGATGAACTCTCTTTTACTTCAGAACATAAAATGGGTCATATTTGGTTTAAGACACACACATCTAGACCTCCACTTTCTGTCAACAAAACAGATGGGCAACCCCAAACCAATTTGTGCATACTTCATGGAGCACTGATACTACAACATCCCCCCACTGTGTATGCTTTGAGAGAATGACTTCTGAAAGCTAGAATGCCTCTTATCAAGGATTATTCTGCCAGTGGGGGATTTATTCTGAACAATACCATCAAATGAAGATGGTGGTGAGCAGTTATTCTTCCCACCCTTTCAAAGTTCACAGTAGAACATGTCAGTGTTACGGATAGTCTCAGCTGCTGAGAATGCTTTAATCAAACACTTTTTTTTCTGCTCCTTTTGCTCCCTAGGGACAGGGGACTTCATGGCACTGCTTTGTTGTACAATGTGTACAGTTATAACCTATGCTGAAAGTATGCCATTAATGAATGAACACTGGGTGTGTGTGTGTCAAGCAGATGAGAATATTCTTTTGATCTTCTGAGCTCCACCACTGTGGCAGACGGGTGTCTAAACTGCTTTATTAATGCACTGAAGTCTTCCATCATTTTTCAAACAATACTGAAGGAAAAATCAGAATTTCATCATGGTGTGATTTTATGTTCTTCCAGTTCAAATATAGCTGGAAGAAGAGGAAAAAAAATATTTATTTATTTATTAATTTTCAAGAGGTTGGGAAGAATATTTCATGTGTTTGACACTCTCAGAGGCATCCAACAGAAGCTTTTCAAATTTCTGTTTAATTTCAAAGCAGTTTCCACACAACATGGGAAGTGTATTTAGCTTTAGGTACAATTTTGAAACTAATCCAACAAAGCAAGATAATGGATTCAAAGTATTTTTGAGGATAACAAAGAATCAGAATAAGCATGTTTAAAAATCATAGAGGTTTATGAACATAATTATAGCAATGGTTTTAGCCTCCAACATATGAATAGAAGTGAAAAACAACCCAACTGGTGTGAGGCCACTGGAATAAAGTTTATATGCAAATGCCTGCAGGAAAGCAATGTAGAAAATCCTTGATAACCCTTCCAAATATATTATTCTAATGTAGTGTTGTGATGAAAAACCGAATCCAGCCAAATTTTCCCAGACTGAATGACATTTCCAAGGAGAAGAGAAAAAGAGGCAATGTAAGACCTCTGTTCTGTAAAAAAACCAGATCAAATTACCACTTCACAGGCAGCTAAGCTTTTTTAACAAGTCACTTGCAAAAGTGAGAGGTCAGGTCCCTCAATCTCTTTGCCATCCTCCCAACTGCATTTGCGACATCTCAGTACTCCCCTGATCACAGAATCACATAAATCATTTGGGTTGGAAGGAACTTCAAAGATCACCTAGTTCCAAAGCCCCTGCCATGGCCAGGGATGCTACCCACTAGATCAGGATGCTCAAGCCCCACACTACCTGGGCATGAATACTTTCAAGGATGGGGCATTCCTCTGGACAACCTGTTCCCATGTTTTAACATTCTCACAATTAATAATATCTCCCTAATATCTAATGTAAACCTAGTCTGAGTTTAAAACTATCCCCCCTTGTGCTATCATCACAGACCCTTGTAAAAAGTCTCTCTGCAGCTTTTTAAAGGTCCCCCTTAGGTACAGGAAAGCTGCTTCAAGGTCTCCCTGGAGTCTTCCTCTTCTCTAGGCAGAACATCCCCAACTCTCTCAGCCTGTTGTCACAGGAAAAGGTACTCCAGCCCTTTGAACTTCTTTATAGCCCTCCTCTGGATTTGTTCTAACAGGTCCATGTCCTTCTTATGTTGGACAAAGCACTTTACATAGGGTCTCAGGAGAAAAGAGCAGAGGGGCAGAATCCCCTCCCTGGCCCTGCTGGCCACGCTGCTTTGGATGCAGCCCAGGACACGGCTGCATTTTTGGGCTACAAGGGCACATTACTGGGTCAATCAAGCTTCTCGTCAACCACCACCCCCAACTCCTTCACCCCAGAGCTGCTCTCAATCCATTTTCTGCCCAGCCTATTTGTGCTTGGGATTACCCCAGTCCATCTGCAGCACCTTGCATTTGGTCTTGCTGGACTTCACAAGGTTCACACAGGCTCACCTCTCAAACCTGCCAAGTGTCATAACTGTTTTTGCTTCCCTCCACACCTCACAGCTTGGTATCGTCTGCAGATTTGCAGATCCTCTACCTCATACCTGTCATTTAGTCAGCTATTTACCTCACTACGCCAGAGAAAGCCATCCACCTTTCTGCTGTTTTTCTTCCAGATCAAAGTGGCTAACAGAGAGATCCAACACGTCAGAACCAGGGCATGGAAAGCAGCAAAATTACCAAGGACTCCTGGGGAGGGAAAAAGGACTGGGGACTGCCACATCTCTCTTCTGTGCAAACTGAAATTGTCTGAATGTGTCTCGTGGAAGAACTGTCGTATTGCAAGGACTTGTTATTAGAAGGGAAGAGGGAATTGACAGGAGAAGTAGAACAAGTAAGGGTTCTTTTCTTTGGAGGAGTGTGTCTATATCAGTGTGCAAACTAGAGCGGTAGAAATCCCATACCTCTGCAGAGGATTTAATGGGTAGAAAAAACTGTGTACATATGCAGCAGCTGCAACACACTGGAACAGGGGATGCATAACCTATATGCAAATAACTATGCAGTTCTGCCCTGAAAATGTGGGCCTGACTGCACAGCAATGTCTACATCAAGTCTGCTACTGCTGGTATGTTGCACTTCATATGCATGGCTGGACAGCACAGCACACACACAGAGCTGCTCCTGTGAGGGGCTTCATGTCCTGTAACTGCTGTGTGTGCTCACAGTGCTGACATCCAGAGTTCCCAGGTATGCAGCAACCAGTGCAGAAGGGTCTGCTCTCTACAGCTACCACACATCCAGAAAGCCCAGACAAATTTCTGAAACCCTCAAAATCTGCCTAAATGTGATTTCCAGGTGCAAAGAGTAAATGTGTCTGGGAAAAGGAAGCCTGTAGCATCCAGGAAGTCGTTTCCTACCTGCACAAAAGCAAACACAGGACACCAACAGCTTAGGAACACCTGTTCTAATGAAGCGAAGGCAGGGCTAGAGCTTAAGTCTCAAATTCTTCCCCAGTCTTCTCTACTGACTTGATTTACCACAATTACATTTGACAATGAATTTGAGAGGACATGCTTTCACATAATGGAAATATGAGAGATTGCATTTCAGCTTCACAAATGTGCCTGTTACTGATGCCATTACAAAAGCTACATAAGGAACTTATTTCAGGTCTAGACACCTCAGAATACAATATCTGTAAATGAGTAAGAAGCTATGCACTAAGATGAGAATCCACCCTTCTCTCTCTTTTAAATGGCATTGGCTTATAAAATTAATTACTTACACACCTCACAGAGACGCAGTACTTAATTAATATTTGTTAAGTGCTTTGCAATTCTGATGGAAGACATACTATGCATCATTATTAATACAGTGTAAAAGTGATGCCATTGGTGTTGCTCAAGCAGAATGCTGAAAGGATATCTATTCAGTTTCTGATTTAAAATGGGGGGTGAGATGGAAAAGGTTTTGGAAAGCAATTTAAAACTCAGCCTAAAGAAAAAGGGAAAACTGGAAAGGAGAGGAGCTAAAACATTTTTCAGAGGTATTTACCGTGTGATGTGCATTAATTCCCGCAAAATTAAAGTGTAAGTGCCTACAGCAAAATCCTGGCTCCAATCAAGTACATGGAAAATGTTTCAGTGACTTCAGCGAGGTGAAGATTGTTAGTTTTTGTCATAATTTCCAGCAGATGCATCCCATATGCAGGTTTGCAATTTTGCACAGTTCCTTGTTTATAGTTTAGGTTCAGGAAATAACCTCATCAAGCTCAGACATGCTCACCATGTAAAGGCAACTGCTCAGCTTCTAATCTTTCTACTACATCGCACACTTGGAGTAAACCTTTCCATTCTGTTAATGAATTTGGACCTGAGCTACCTATTTAAGCTGGTGGCAAAACTCCAATTAAATGGAAGCTCCGTGGAGATCACTGTAGATTTTGTAATAAATATGGGAAGCAAACATCCTGTGTTTAACAGTGTACACCCCTGGAGTTAACTCATTTACTCAGAAGTCTGTGGAATTCTGACTGGAAAACAAATCAAAACAAATCAATCCCCAAACTCCTGAAGTAACAGAAATTCAGGCAACTTGTTTTTTTAAGCATTAGTCCTTTATATCTAGCAAGACTAATAATCAGAGAAACTCCTTCCTCACCACTTCTGGATAAGGAAGAGTTAATTCAACTGAAAACTTTGCACCTGTGAGACTCAAAGAAGAAAGGTTAAAAGAGTAGCAAGGGAGAGGCACCAAAATTTGAGAGAAGGTACCTGTGAGCTTCTAATATTAAGAAGAGTCACAGGACCCTATAGCTACTTTAGGTAGGTAAACTAAGTGAAAATGCCCTAGGCTTCCAATTTTGATATATTTTTATTCTTGACAAGGATTGATGACTGTAATGTGGTGTATATGGGCGTCTTGGTAAGCTATTAATTACCCTTTTCCAAGTGGTATGCAATGGCTTCCATCTTCTTAATGTACTTCTATTCAGCACAGGAAATCTTAGAAGTACTATTTATTCTAAAGCATCTGTTAAGGTGGGCTCTCTTAACCATGCTACGTGTAGAAATGTTGTACTACAGCAAACCAGCACTTGTAGAGCAGTTTTGTGTCTATGCAACTGCTAGACCAAATGTAATGATCAAGTTGCACACAGCAGCTCTCCCTTTCACTTGTGCTAGTATGCTCTATGTTTTTAACTTAGTGCAAGCTCTGAAGCACGTAGGCTTGTAGTTTTCTCTCTCAGTGCTTGTACAGCTGTGTCTACAAATGTATGTGTCCATTCAAAATCCAAGGAAATGTTCCTGGATGCCAGGATTAAGCTTAGATAGCTGCAGCTCTAATAAATAACATGCAGCTCACATTGTAGTTCTAAGTGCTGACAGTTGCTTTCCAGTCCTATTGGAATAAGCAACATCATTCTTCCATCCGAACTCTGTAGTCACACTGTGTTGGTGTATGAACTACATCATGTTGCTGCTCTCAGGATCCTCAGGAGAGACGATATTAAGGTGCCAAGGCAAAAATTCAAGCCTAAAGATTTTACTGACTATAAGTTAAATGTGTGATACTTAAGTCTAAATGTGTGATACTTAAGTCACGCAAAAACAGTGCAGTGTCACTTGTGTAAACAGGTAGGCTGTGTCTCCTTCCTAAGACTGTGCATTAATAAGATACTTACTGGCCAACCAGTAGCATCAAATATGGCAAACATTTCTCCAAAGTCTGCCTTTATTATGGCTGGAGATAATGGTGCACAGGTAGTACAGGGGAAAAATCATACTGTGATCTGCTTGGCATGGGTACTGACAGGGAAGGCCACTGAAGGGATACTAACTATGTATTTTGAAGAGATTTTAATTTTGTGGAGGGGCCAGAAGAAAATTGTACCAGAAATCAGAGTCAGCAAGGCTATATATAAGACTTACTGACATTTGCATTGTGCTGACAAGACATGAAGGATTTTCAAGATAATAGTGTTCCTCATTTTTAGACCTCAGGAAAAAACACCATCCTGCTAAATAAGGTATTTCATGGCTTATTTTCCTCACTGTGCATCCATCTAAATTATCCTTGACTCTTTACCTGACAAGGTCTCTTTCCCTTACTGGCTTACACTTTTTCCCCCCAGCAAGATGAACAGCAGCCCAGCAGCAATCTCTAATAAAACCACACCTGTATGGAAAGTAACTGAATTTCCTCTAAGCCTGTCAAATGAATCCTAATCACTCTTATCTCACATGCTTTCCAGAGCAGGTCCTTGCAGTTCTCTAACCTTTTAACCTTTGTTTCTGTGCCTGGTTTTAATGTTAAAACTTCTTTCATGGTTCTCTTATGTGATGAACAGGACAAATCTATTTATTTTTATCTCTGGTAAGACTTGCATTCCTTCTACTTACTTATAACCTGCCAAATGGAACTATCTGCATCCACAAATGCCTCTGTAGTCTATCTTTTTATTTTCTCCTACCTCCCAGGTATCCCACATACATTTCCCAGCCTCAGGTGATGGATCCCTTATGTTACATTAAAATGAATGGTGTTCAGATAACTATGTCTTTTCGAGTAGTCCAGATCTTGGTGTATCACCCTGTGTTTACACCTTCAATTTCTGGTGTTCACCAGTGCCATACAACCAGTTATAGAGGCTCCTGTAGAGTGCTAAAAGACTGAAAAGGAATGGTGTGAGGTCTTTGGGACAATTTTTGACTTCTGTTGGATCAAATTTCCTTACAGATATTCCAATTTCTTAAGGGTCTTCTTTCTGGAGGATTTTAATATGTAAATTTTAATTATTTTAATGCTAGACTGGATTTTTATAATTACTGCTGGCTATGTCTGCATCAGGAATAAGCATGAGTCTGCAAATGAAAATACCTGATGCTGAGGGTTGTGTTCCCATTATGGGTTCTGTGTGTGTGGTTGGTTTAGGTCAGCTCTTGCCTGCCCTCGCGGACTTTCCCACCTATGAGCTGTGGAGAGCGTTGAGCATTCACTGGTGGTGCAGCCTCTGGTGATCCATCGGACAACCTCAGGTTCAAGTCAAATTGCACTACATGGAGACAATGCTTCAAACCCACACTCTTGGCTCTCACTCCTTTAGCACCATCAAAGTGAGAATCTGCACTAGCGCTGGTGCACAGATCAACACCTGTCAGACAGTCTGGGAGATTACTGTTGCCATTAATGAACTTAATCTACATCTGGAGAAGGCACACAGGGATGTGGAAGATTTCTATCTCTTTGTTAGTTAATGGGAGAAGTTTACAAAGCCAATCTTCAAAGCAGATACAGCTACAGATAGGAAAAAGAGAAAACATTCCCTCTTCACTTGCCTCCAGTTTGATCTATAAGAGGTCTAATAACATGATGGCAGAATACATTTTGATGTAATGGATAATTTGGCTTACTATGTTTAGTGTAGTGATCAAATTAATAGCAGGACTGACTTTTTATTTGGTGTAGGGAGGGGTAAGAAGGGCAGGGGAAAGCCCCTATCATCTGCTGTGTACTGAAGATAGGAAGAGTACTCTCAGAGAGCTCTGGAAATAGGGACTATGTATTTTAGTTAGTGGTATGCTATGCAAACACTTACTGAAAACACTTGAACACCAAGAAAAGCAAATTACTCTGCCCTGGTGGAAGGGGTGGTTAAATTCAACTGCTATTACTGCTGTGCAGCTGTTAAAAAACCACCACTGCACCAAAGCAGATGAAAGGATTCTGTCATTTACAACATTCTAATACCAGAAAGGATCACCTAAACATGCTAAAAGACAAATGTCAGGATAAAGTACCTGGTGATGCTTTTTCAAGTTGTTCACAACAGGGAAAAAACTAAGAAGTAATGCTGAATGGATAATCTGAAATTTTACTAACATATTCCAATATTCTTGTGTATCAGGTATACTTTCAGAAGTACAGTCTCAAGAACTTCCCATTCCTTACAACATGCCCAGCAGAAAAAAGTAAAACTGCATCTTGTTAGCTCCCATACTAGCCTGATGGTCATATAACTGCTCCTCCCAGAATCTGAGACATAATATAGCCTTCTTCTGCAACCTCCTCGGTTATGCAAAGTCACAGCTCAAAACTGTAAACTGAGTCACAAACAGAGTGACTGTACAGAAAAACAGAAAAATCCAGCTAAGTGCCTTTCTTCCCCCTCTCCCCATTATTGAAATGCAAGCATTTCAAGGTAGGTATTCACACACATCTCTTGTTGACGTCTGTTTTAGTGGCACTTGTACAGATGGGAGTCAGACAGAGAGATGTACAGACAAAGGTTATCTAGAGCTGATGCTGCCACCCTTCAGACCTATGTCTAAAGCCGCCTCCTAATTCCAAGAACAACCCCAAGCTGGGCTGCCACCAAACCATCCTCAGAGCTGCTCTGAGGGCTGTGCTGCAGCCTGGGTAAGGCAGCACAGGCAGATGGGGGAAGCTGCTGTGCAACAGCAATGCTCACGTAGAGGGAGCTGGGCTGTTCAACAGACATGATGCATTCACCTGTGCTGGCTGAACTGGGGCAGGTATAAAAGAAAGGCCAAGTGCCCTATCAGCTACGTTGCTTAGGGAAGGTATGAGTGGGTTTGTCTCTTTGTGGGAGCTCCCATTCTCAAGGTGCCTTAAGTGAAGTGAAAACAACCCTCAGCGTCAGCTCTTCTTCCTGCTTGATTTTGTATTGTGGTCACAGCTGCAAAGGTAAGGATGTTATTTTGCTCCTCTGGCATTGAGTCAAAACCCAGAAGTTTGTATTAGAAAAGTGGTCTGGAAAGTACTGTATTAACAGACATGCAAAGCCTCTGACTTCTGGGGAATAACCAGCTTTGAAGTAAAATACACTCAGCAATAATCCATGCACACTTCATTAATTTCAGAACTGCAACAGCAAAGTACTACTTAGAAAAAGCTGTAAGATAGTAATGAAGGCTTTGGGGTTTATTTTTATTTTTAATCCCAAAAGCTCCTTATCTCCCTTCTCCATGTTTTTTCATTCAATTTTCAGTAGTCTAAGTTAAAGCTCATCTAATAAAAAAAATGACACATTAAGTTTGGCTAACCTCTTCACCCCCCTCTTGATGAGAATCCTTTCTTCCTTGGGGAGTAAATGCAACAACTTCACAATTGGTACATTGCTTATTTAAGATAACTTTCCTCTGCGTTTTGTGTTTAATGAAATTTGGCTGATCTAGGAGATTTCGGCACTTAAATAATTGAGATAGTGAGGGCAGCAATTTTTGCCAAGTCTTGAATAGCACAAGTATCTCTAGGCAGAAAGGCAGTATTTTGTTATCTGTCAACATGCATGCATCTTTCTCTACCACACCCCTAATCCAGTTTGAGAACCCTTGACATGGGCTACTGCGTGATACGAAACACCGGTTTACTGTTCAAATTTGAGTCAAAGCTTAGACTCAAAACAAAGAGTAGTAGTAGTTTAACACTGGATTTAAGTGCAGGTCTGAAGAGTTGCTGCTGGAACGGGAGTGCTCATGCCACTTTTCCCGTCCTACTGCTGGGCTGTGCAGCTGCAGTGCATGCCATGCCCAGAAAGCCTTGATGCACTAGAAAAAACAACTTTCAAAAAGCCAGCTGATGCAAGAGGTACAATACGATGTTCAGCTGGGCTGGTGGAACAGGGCCACCTTGCTGTCGCAGCCTGCTATTACTCCAGCCTTTCGAGGCCATAGTCAGAGTTCTTGAAATTTGTTTCAACACTTCAATTCATCAAAAACTGTCTCTAAAACAAGAAATGCAGGCCACTCCCACACTTCAAGTTACATGTTCTCTTTTTTGCACTTAAAGAGTTCGTGTGAATGAGCAAAAAGAAACCAACTAGGCTGGAAAGCAGGAGCAACTAGCCTCGCCGATAAGAAGGGTAAGGGAAATCTTGTTAGCTTCAATGATCAGAGTACATTTAAAAAGGTAAGTTCCAACTTTTATAGAGAAATAAACAGCAATCACTTTCCTTCGCAGTGTTTGAACATTAAACCTGTTCAAGACTACCTGGTTGCTTCACCAGCTGTATCCGAATAAAAAAGGAAATCTGGCTGTAGATTCCTTACTATGCAAATTAGTTACTGCAACCAACTTGCTTTATGTTCGCCCTACCTCTTCACATTTCCTCCGGCTGTGCTCCTGCCACCGTGTTGCCTGTTTTCAGCAACAAGAGATGTTTTCTGCCGCAATTCTGATTACTCTCTGTGTATTAGGCTTTCTTTGTAGCTTGCTAGATAATTTTACCTCACACCGCTCTTCCGGAGGCGGACAGAAGTATGCTAAGTGCAAATACCACTAACAGGGCCCGAGGGAAAATGTGTCCAGGCTCTCGGGGTCACTGAGCAATTCCCTGCTCGCCCTCGCCGTGATGCCACGGCTCAGAGGCCCCGGTCTGACCCCCGCCGCCCTTGCAGGCGCC